TAGAATCTGATACAATCTACAGAGTTTGTCGAGTTCAGCTAGATGCTTGCTTATACATAGCTTACTGATGCCCAAAGACAGCGCGAGTTGCACGCTATTCGACTGTTTTCATCGGATTACGTGTGTGCTGATAAATTATTCTCTAGACTGAAAGTAGGACTATAGGAACCAAAAGTCCATCCGTCCGGAGTACACTGGTGAATGTACTTGCACCCAACGTACACTGGCGACATATGCATAATTCACTTGAAACACCAAGAAGATTCGATTTTTCACTATTCTGCTGGAAAAGTTCAAATATTCAATATAAGTTCAAAGTTCAATATTTCTGCGCCCTGAAAGTTAATGGTAGAATACCATACTCAAAAATAAAATAGTACTCCACTTTTGAATTACGTGCGCCTTACCTAATATTAAAAAATTCACTATTCACTCAGAAAACATCAGAACGATTTCAAAACTTCAGAATGTAGAGTATTTAAGCTATTCTATATCATGTTCATAGGAGATCTCAGAATAAATTTTAAAAACCCTGAGGCTTTCCAAAAGGATTTCTGGAAAACCTATTAACTAAACTATGTTTTTTCGATCTTATTATCCCATTTAGCAGACAATATTAATGATATCCTGAGATTTTGAGCTACTTCTGATGTCTTTTGAGTGAATAGCGAACTTTTTAAGATTAGGTAAAAAGAGTCTGAAAACCGTAGTTTTCGTAAAACAAAATCTCAAGCTCAACGAAGCATGATGGAGAAAAACTTCAGTTGATGTCAAATTTAAATAAGTAAATTTAAATATGTTACATGTTTAGATTTCTTTCAGTATTCAAATATTTTTCATTTTGATATAAGAATATTTACATTGTGGGGTATGTCTCTGTTGCAGAAACAGAGAATCAGACAATCAGAAAATCCTATATGCTGAATCGTGTTGAATAGTCTATAGTATGGTCTCTCTTGGTTATGAAGCAGAGAATCAGACAATCAGATAGTCATACAAGTTGAATAGTGAGATTAGAATATTTTCTAGTTTAGTTTTCCTTCCCTATAAAGCAGAGAATTAGACAATCCAGTTTGTCGAACAGATATTTTTTAATATTCTGAGGTATGGTGTGTCTTTCTTACGAAGCAGAGAATGAGGCAATCGGATAATCATGCAAGTTGAATAGTGAGATTTGAATATTCTCCACTACAGTCTGTCTTTCCTGTAAAGGAGAGAATCAGATAATCAAATAATCATACAGTGAGATCATAGTGAGATTTGAATATTTTGTAGTATGGTCTGTCTTGGTTGTGAAGCAGAGAGAGAGAGAGAGAGAGAGAGAGATAAGGATAGAACAGAAAGAAGCAAAGCACAAAAGAACAACTACACAGTTGATAGAATCGAACACTTGAACCAGACAATCAGACAATCAGATAATCTTATATGCTGAATGGTCAAATTTGAATATTCTTTAGATATGATGTGTCTCCCTCTTGCTTATAATATTGAAACGTCTAAAATATAACTGTAATTTGTACAATTGAAGTAGAGTTCGAAATGGTGGTGAGTGTGAGTGCAGTAATAATCTTGCACGTGGTGAACGGCAGATATGCGGTAAAGAAAGAAAGTTGAGTTCTTGGTTGAGAAAGAAGAGAAATTAAAATTGTAACGTTCAGACATATTTTCAATATCTTGGTTCATAGTTTGAAAACTGATTTGGAATATATTAAAAATGAACAATATGAATGATATAAAAATAACAGAGAAATGAATATGTACATCGCAATACATCAGTTATGTTAAAAATACTGATTGTTCGGATGTATCAAGTCTAACTGTACGACAATTCTTGAGATGAAATAGTAATAAAAAGAACGGTGGATTTTGGATAATGATAGCCATGAAATGAATTTTGAAATTTTGAAAAATAAGAAAACATTTGTTCGACTATCTGTGAATTAATATTATCGTAAATACCGTTATGTGATGGGTGAGTTGGTCGCATAAAGGTTTTACACATAGGGCGATTATGATTATTAACATGAAATGAATCAATTGCCATTCTCATATTCTTAACAAATTCCATTCTTTGTAATGCTTGTAAATTCTCTTGATTATAATGTTTTCTAATAAATAAATACAAAGAACACGCCGTGTCATAACACATCACTGAAGGCAACGAGCCATACTGTAAAATTCTATACAAATGGCGAAGTACTCGTCTCACTAAATAGAAGAAAATACTTGTGATGTCATTGGTGATGAGAGAAATGCAAATCTAACTTAGAATTAAGAGAGAGTGTTAGGCTTTTGGGACTAAAATGGCTGCACTAGAAATTTTTCACTAAAAGCTCTCAAAAGAAAAGTTGACAAAAATATCACGCTTTTTCATATTTCTTTAACTTTTTCTCTGTTCTCTGTGTTAAAATATGAATGAATTATATATGAGTCAAAAGAGTGACGAAACTGGACAAAATCCAGTATTATTTGAATTTTTAACCTTGAGTTAATGCTTGAAAAAATCCAGAATTCAAAGAAATTCAAAACACGAAAATCTCAAATTTTTTGGTTAATAGCAAGTTTTTGAGATCATGGTGATCTTTTCTCAAAATAAAGTTCACGCAAGTTTGTATAAAACGCAGTTCTCTACAAAACAAGTTAAAAATACACAATGGGCTTGTCAAATAGTTAACATATTCATAATTGTTCAATTCATTTTCATTTCAAGTATAATCTAATAGAAGAGGTAATAATAATTTTATTTAATTACTTCACGATGACGCTATTTCTCTCGTCAATAACAGACAGAAAAAACTTACATACAAAACCAACAGGTGTTGTAGGAAAAGAAAATGAAGACGAAATTTTTGATAAAAGTGCAGATGATAAGTATCATTGATTTTTTGTATATACATTTGTTTCTTTATTTAGAAAAGATTTTTCATAATCATCAAATGAGACACTCGCCTAAGCCGACAAAGAAACAGACACAATAAGAAGAGTAGACAGTATGAGAATAAGTTGTCATTTGTAAAAAGAAGATTACTTACTTCTTTCTGTAGTGCTCTTGTAAACTTTAACTGATCTTGATCTTTTTCACTGATCAATCCGTCTCTAAAGAATGTTGGAAGAAGAAGAATGAAAGGCAGAACAAATCCAAGGTGGAGTGAAAAAATAACCAGTAAGGTTCAGCTAATTCAAAGCTGCAACAGAATTTTTTTCTCAATATTTATCAGTGGTTAGATAGAGCTCGCTGAGCTGAAAGAGAATGTGTGTGTTTTAGCGTTATATGACGGGCATTGAAAAATCAATTTTATTGAGAGTTAAATGTTTTTCAAAAATTAAAAATTTTGATTCTTTCACGTTTTCCCCCTACAGAGTCTCTTTAGAAAAATTACAGCCTAAACTTTGGGTTGTCTATAGAAAGAAATAGAATTTCAAATCTATGTTTCGTTTCCGAAATATAGACGAAATACTATCGTCACGGAATGACATTATTTTTTCATGCTTCGAATGACGGAGTTTCTGTTTCATGTTTTAAACACAGTTAACTTGAAAACTTGACATCAATGTGTTCTACAACTTATTTCATTGAGTACTGATTATTCTATATATATGTTTTTATTCTATAACAACAAAAATAATGTTTTTTTTTACAATAGATAAGTCAATAAAGTTGAAAACGTTGAAAGAAATCGAAAGTTCTTTTTATTCAAAGGTAAATACGAATGTTTGTGTGCAATTTGTATATGAACTACATTCAATTATATTTTTATGTAAAACTTTAATAGAATGTTGTTTTCGTATAACAGGTACACTACATGTCTGATCAAACATATGTGATAGTTTTGCTATTGTTACATCTATTTGAGCATTTGTTATTTCTCCTGCTATTATTATTTTGGTTTTTTCATTACAAATTTGAACAAAATCTGAAGCTGATGTACATCTTTTACCAGCCATCATTTCTGACCATACTAAGCGTTTCAATATGCCACCTATGCCATCTACAACACCTTTACCATGACTACGAGCAAAAAAGTTCCAGATTATATCAACGTCATTATCATCCATCATATACGTTAAATAACGTAATAAAAAACGATTTTTAAATTGACTAGCAGCGCCATCAGAGAAAAAGATTATTTCATTTACATCTGGCACATAACTTTTTATTTCATTTACAATAACATCAAGACATGTGGCAACGCTAAATTTATCATGTGTTGTATTATTCGATACTAAACCAAATGAGAATCCTACATCACCTCCACTACCACTACATATGATCTTTGAAATAATTTTTACATATTATACATTTTGATGACATGCATTTTTCATCATCAACATCACAAATAAGCATAGATGTAAATGCACTAAGATCACCTGCTTTTAATCCAGTAACATGTTTAGATAGAACATTTATAAGAAGATGAATATTCTCATGATAAACACATATGCAGATACGATGAGCTAATGTTGATTTATATAGTACAAAACGTGGACGTAATTCTTGAAATGTCGATTTACTTATTGATATATCTAAAACAAGACAATCTTTTACTTTTCCAGCATTAGAAATAGTCACAACACATGACTCGTTTACACTTCTCAGTGGGACTACTTATAACTTTTAATATACAACATGAATTTCTTTCGAAATTTAGCTTCATTTATTACTATTGTAGTAGTCCAAAGTTACGACGGGAAATTAAAAAAAGTTGCTCTGTCTTTTTTATTTAGGCCAATTAAGAGACCTTGTTTCTTTGAATTTTAATCCAATTTGTAGTTTGCTATGAAGCGCGAAATATTATGCGCAGAAAAAGTGGATTCACAAGTAATCAACTATAATGCGTCCAATGGGTATATTCTCCAGATCTTCAGAGGGCCTCTAGAGAGCCTTTATGGGCCACCGAAGAACCTCTAGGAGATCTGCAGAAAACTTTTCAGGATTTATTGAAATATGAAGCTCTTATATTAATAAAATTTTAAAAAATTAACTTTTTAAAACTCTATATTATAATATAAGTAAGCACACTACTATAGTTATTTGTACCAAATTATGGAAAAACTCGTTTTTGTTTTGTGTAAAATTTTTATATTATTTAAAAGTGGTCGAATTTTGTATTAGTCCCACTGAGAAGTGTAAACGAGTCATATATTGTCAACATATCATGCACGAGCAGCAGAGCGAGATTGTCGTACTACGATTTTCAGATAAGAATAGTTTCATAAGCTTCACGAAGATTGAACATTAAATGACGTTTTTGATGTTTTGTTTTTTGACCATCGTCTCTAACAACAACATAATCACATTTTCCTGGGGCTTGCCATGAAATATCATCACCTGTATAAAATGTTACAGCAGCATCTTTGACCTTGTCACATGTTTTTGATGTTGTACGTTGATGAATTGGCTTTGGAAATAATGTCGGTATATTATAAACACCAAAATATGAAAAGTTGCGTTCGTAGTGATTGAGAAGTTCTTTTTTGAATATTTCTGAAGTGTTTTTTTTTAGAGTTTGAGGCTGAGAAAAATGTCTGATCTAATGCTAACTTTTGATAGTCTATCTAATGCAATAATTAGTTTATAAGCGGTCTATGTTTTAATCGAAATTCCAGAAAATGCATTCATATACTTCATCTTACAGCCAAAGATAAATGTTTGGTTAAAAATTTTTTATCCATGTTCTTTAAGTTTCATTAATATATTAAACTTTTACTTCAGTTTAGAACTAATTCTTTTTTTAAGACCAGACGTCTCAGTATTGGGAGTTCCACGTTTTAGCACCTTTAGGTGCTACCCTGCTAAGGTTTTCTTTTACGATTTAACCGCAAAAATCCACGCATAGATGTAGGTCGTTCAAACTTCGACAGTTTACAATAGGACAGAGCATGAGTAAGAAACAGGGCCGAGAACATCTAATCCTATTAAACCTAATACTTTAATGGTTCGATGGACTGTTTGGTGCCAGCTGATTTTAATCATGACATTTTAAATTGTTGACATTTTTGAACATAAGGTAACATATTGTTCGATCGCTGTGTACATGCTAGGCCAATAATATATATTACGAATTTTGTACAATGTTTTATTAATACCGAAATGACCACTGATTACACTATCGTGATATGCTTCTAATAAAGAGTCTGTCATCATTGATGAAATATAAGGTAATTTGAGTGTCGGTCGGCCACGTCGAGCTAATACTTTATGTACAATATCATTTTCCAAGACAAATGATTGCACATAATTGCCAGTATTTAATTTATCATAAATAGTTTGGATTTTGTTATTCCTTGATTGTTGATGCTTAAGGTTTGTTGAATTAAATTTTGATGGAATAGCCATTGTTATTGGTTGAATATGGTTTGCTTGAGACTGTATAATGTCTAATTATTGTTCAGCCATATCATCGGATTTCTCATGGATTTTGATTTGGACATGCTAATCTGCTATACGATTAGATTTTCCAGTTGCAGGTTTAATAGCAAATGTATAATATTGTAGTTGTAACGACCATCTATCTTTGATGATTGTTTATTCATTAGGGAAGAAAAATGTAGCAACAAAAGTTGTTCAGCGTCGAATTTAGCGTGGACGAGGGAATTTTTGAAATCCATAATTCAAGTTAAGCTTTGTTGCGCTCCTACTGCTCCGTAGAATTGGAGATTTCGACTAAGCTTCTTTGTTCAATTCTATCCCATTTGGCACTTTTTTAACAGAGATGGGGGACAGAGTACGAGTATTTACTTGTATTCAAGTACAGTTTTTTGGATACTCGTATCCGAAGTTTTCTTTTTGAGATGTTCAAAGAAGTACTCGAGCACTTGATTTTAAAAATGTTATAGCGTGTACAATGCAATTAACGAAATACAGTTTTGGTAGTTTTTGGCTTAAATCATAGAGATGATGATATCAAAATCGGCTGGCTCCAAATACTCTAAACGCTTGATACTTAACCCTCACCCTCACAAACGGCTTTGAATACAGACAGAATACTTCGTGAGTACATCCCAACTGTGTGTGCACATAGACGGACCTTTGTTATTCGAGTTGTATGAGTGGAGAGTAAATTAGTGTCAGAATGAAAATCATTGCTAAACTGTCCTTTTCATTCCAAAGACTTTGAGAAAAGGGTCAAAAACATAACGAATGCAGACTTTCGTCCGTACAACCTACCAGCAGCAGATTAAATTCTTTCTTGAACTGGAATTTTTTCTACTCTGCCAGGGCTATAACCCCTCGACTAATAAATATAATTGCATTACAATGGTATAGCAACAGTACGTATGCTCTAACGATGCCAATCGGTGCGATCTTAAGTAACCTTATAGTCGAACACTGGAATTATAATAAACTTACGTCTTTCGAACGCTATTACAATCAGTGTAATGTAACTGAATGTACCCACATTTTCAAGTTCGAAATGATCTAGTTTATATGGTTACAGCAATAACAGGATTGATCGGTCGTTTAGAGAGTTGTGTAGGAAATGGAAATGTAATTACTATTACATGTCAGAGTATAGACCTGAAAAGTAAACAGTTTGATGTCGATTCTGATTAATATCGAGTTACCATTCATCACAAAACTGTTCTGTAACAGAATAATTCCATTTTTACAGAAGTGGATAGTCAAGAAGAAAAACACAAAGTAGCACCGGAAACAGCATAAAAAAGTAATAATTTTCCTGTAGGTAGACTCATAGCTGCAGTTGCGGTGTTATTCGTAATCAGCTCGTTAAGCTGAATCTGAATATGTATAATATTGCCAAAATCAGATGCCAGATTATATTTACACCTGGATATAAATAACGAACTGATTCAACAGTTTGTGAAATACGTCGAACAGTTTCGTCAGCTTCTACTCGATGAATGTCATTAGTGCCAATAATAAATATGAACTGATTGACATTGTGCATGAATGTTTGACATTCATGTCATTAACCAAGCTAAAGCATCAACACAATCGCTTCCTGAATTAAAACGAAGACGTACTTTATCTGTTTCAACCTCTATATTTTTGACCGATTTGTTACGAGCGATTGATGATCCGACGATTGCTGTAAGATGCACGTAATGCAAACTTCAAGTGAAATTTGATTTTAGCATTATTATACATATTCAGATTCAGCTTAATGAGCTGATTACGAATAATGCTCTCCGAGTCCCCAGAAGCCATTTCTTCATGGAGAAAAACTCAAACTGCTGAGAGGGTCTGAAAAATATAAAAAAATCATCCTCCATGATCGAATTGACTTTTTGAGTTTGTATTGTAAGATGGAAGGTTCGAACTATACTTTTCTGAATCAGCATTGAAAACTGATTTAGAAAAAGGTTTTCAGTTCATTTCAGAGATGAACAGTCGTCCCCCATGGGCGTCCGAACCAACGACTATCAACTGGGTATGACTCATTTTGTAAACCTGTCTAGTTTTTTGGGTGAAAAGCTATATCGATGACTCACACACCATCAGATTGGCCAACACGCCAGCTTTAAAAGTACGTAGAGCTTTTATCAAAATTCGTTTTTCTTGCTGAGAAAAACGGCTTTTACTGAAAACCAAAGAGAAACAGCGAGGAGATCTTTGGTCGAATCAATTCGTCCATTAAATATTGGCCTTCCGAAGGTATCCATTTGCGTCTGATAAAAATTTGATACTTACCGTAGAAGAGCAGATGAAAATTCAACATAAAAACATCAAAGAAACAGAAAATACCGGTAATAGTTTATCAGAACAACGGAATATAGGTGCAACAAGACCAATGGTTGTTATCCTTACGATTGTACTTAGTATTTCTCTAATAGTAGTCGTTTTGCTTGCTCTCTGCCTAATATACCGATGCCGTCGAAATTTACAAACTCACCAATCATCGATCGTGAACATTGGCACCACCATGAATCAGCCGGTCACATCAATTCAACAGCCAACTTAAGATAATAGCTTTTGGATTTAAGGACTTGTGAACAGCATTCCTAGCACCAGTTTCTCATAAGGAATCTAAAAATAGTAGCTCCAGAGTTATACGACTAAAGCGAAAAAAGTTACTGCGTTTTTCCTGAAAACAAAAATTTTTTGGGTTTTTGCAACCTTCTCCGTAATCGGAGTTTTTCTCCATGAAGATGCGGTTTAAAAGAAGTCAAAAGGTGATATTCGTGATCAGCTCCTCAAGACGAATCAGCATGTGTATGATTAAGTCAAAAACAAATTTTGCTCGAATTCGAATTACGGGCACCTTACCAAAAAAGTCGGTTCAATCTTCTTCTGGTTTATCTACATACTTCTTTACATTGAATCAGTTCGATACACATGAGCATCGTTTCGTTGTCGCCACACGATGTTTCGTTGCAATGGTAAATCAGTGCATCGCTTTCACTTGAGCAATGATTTCATTAAAGATAGCTTGCGTGTTCGATTGACGAATATGTAGCAAATCGTACGAGTGAGAAGGTTGAGACTGTGGAAGATAGCGCATATTGGGAACGGATTGTCTTGTCTGATGGAGAGTGGCGCATGAATTAGACGGAACTTTGTCGATATAGTGACGAATTAATCGAACCAGATCATCATCATGATAAAGGTATTGATCGAACAAAAGAGCATAATCCAAGCATGAATCCATGATAGTTCCCTTGGTTCTGACGAATCTGTGTTCTGAATCGAGCGATAGAGATAATCCCCATGCATCAATAAGAACTGAACCAAGGCTAACAAGGCAAGACAATAGGTAGACGAATTGAAGTCCATCGAAAAACGAAATATCGTACTGATCTAGAATGAGAAAGAAATGAAGATTCTTCGCTTGTTTGAAAGACAAACGACGATGAATAACGAATATTGTTATTCCACTAAGACCAATGGGGAAATTAGTATCGTCTTGCATTGATATTCAGATGAAAAAGGTCATCGTGACCTGGATTATGAGAAAGAGTGCCACAATAAGAAGACGTCAATGAATGGTTTTAGAGTTAGTCAGGTGAAGGGAGCTTGCACGGTTCTGATTATGTTTCCCAAAAATAAACATTGTTTGCCGTATCATATATTTACCAAACGTCAGAAAATTTAGAGAAAAATAACAATAACAAGAAAAATTGGTCATTTTTAATTCCTCGCATGAAATAGCCGTCCATAGGCATGCACCAGTTACAGTTAACCGTAAAACTGTACAACCGTAACTGTCAAAACTGTGTAACTGTAACGGTGAAAAAACTTAAAATGTATGCAAATCGTACAAGACTAACTTACTCTAGAATATTTGCCTACAGTTATGAGCAGTTACAGTTTTCACAGTTACAGTTAACTGCTAAAAAACTGTAAACTGGCGCATACCTGGCCGTCCGTATGCGTGCATTGCAATCCATGTCGTTGTTTGAAGCGTTTGAGCTCAACATTTAACTTAGCTTGAAATGAGTGGACTAATTATGGAATTAGTTCACTCATTTCAGGCTCAGTTCTGAAAGAAAAACCGGGTAAAACATGGTGCAGTCAGCATGCCAACTACCTCAAGAAAAGTTTTTCGGAAAGAGAGCGTTCTTAACCGTGAAATTTCTTTCACAAAATCTGCCATAGATCTGTTACAGATTGTGACAAAATTCTTTGCAAACAATGCACAATCTGCCGAAAATCTGCATCAGATCTGTACAGATTTTGCGCTATTGATTCTGCTGGAATTCTAATATCTCGTCCGTATTTTGCATGCAGATTGTGCACAGTAATTTGTAAAATAACAGAATCTGTGCAGATTTGTTGTTGAAAGCTGAAGACACGTTTCGTCTAAGAACCGTTGACCAAAGCATTCCTCAGAGCTAGGAAATGTCTCATTTAATCGGAGATGCTTGCTCTACTAGCTGATAGTATTAAAATCAATCTCAATTTCACCAAATGACTAAAATATTAAAATTGGAGCAGAGTTCTTACTTTAGACTTTTCAGAAAACTTCTTCAAAAATCTCTTAGAAACCTTTGATAGTGACCCACAAAATATGGATTCTGTCGGAAACCAAAAAGTTATCATAAATAATCTTTCGGAAAGGTGTTGTACATTCCTGTCATCTAATATTGTAGGATTATAAAAAAGCAACAGATCTTACAGATCTTATATGACGCGTAAACATTCATATGAAAAGAACGACGAACAAAAAGTTAATGCCCCAGGATAGGCTCGAACTAACGACTTCCGCATTGCTCCAATACTGTTGTATAAGTACGGCACTCTAACCAACCGAGTTACAGGGGCGATAACTTTGAAAACTACTCCAGAAAAAATAAAAGATCAAAGTTCTCATTGGTTAACAGATATTAGATGAAGAAAAGTGAATTCCATTGTCGGTGTCTTTCGTCAATATATCG